TAGAACCGCTCTGACCCTCTGCATGAGCTGAGGTCTGTCAATTGCTGAGACTAAGATGTCATCGAAATAAGGGACAACCCCTGGGAGACCTTGGAGAATCCTTTCCATGAGTGATTGGAATATACCCGGGGCTACACTTACACCGAATTGGAGGCGTTTACACTTGAATGCCCCTCTATGTGTGACTATGGTTTGTAATTCAGCTGTCTGATCATCAACAGGGAACTGTTGGTATGCCTGGGACATATCTAACTTGGCAAAAATGGTGCCGGGTTCGAAGGTGTGTAACAGGTGCTGAATAACAGGGACAGGGTATGCGCTGACTTGCAGGTAACGGTTGAGGGTGGTTTTATAGTCTGCGCAGATTCTTAAACTGCCATCTTTCTTGAGTGGGGTGACAGGGATGTTCTTGCCCTGGTAGTCCCGCAGTGTCAGGTGGCATCTCTGTAGCTGCTTCTTCGACAGTCTGGGCTGGATCTTCTTTAGGGTCTCCCAGGAGATGATTGAAAGTGCAGATCCCGTGTCTACCTCCATCCTGCAGGGTTTACCTTCTAAGGAGACAGAAATTTTGATTTTATTAGGAGTCTGGGAAGTATGGTTAGCGTGGTAGCAGGTATAGCAGTCCTCCACTTGCCTTTGGGAATTAGAAGGTGGTGGAGGTCTTTGAGGCAAAGTACGCCCTGCTTGGCAGACTCTAGCGAGGTGACCCTTCTTTTGGCAATTCAGGCAGGTGGCATTCTTAAACCTGCAGGATGTCCTAGAGTGGGAGCCTCCGCAAGTTAGGCAAATGGGAGGTTGTTTGGGGGCGAAGTTGTTTCTCTGTCCCGCTCCTACCTGTGAAGGCTTCTGTTGCTTAAGGCGGTTAATATCTGATGAGTCTGTGGGGTCTTCTTCACTGAGCACTTCCTCTGAATGGATGGTGGAACTGCTGGGTTTTAACGGAGTACCTTGAATTTCAGCTGCTGATTGGGCAGAGAGCTCAGCAGCTTGGGCTTCCTCCATGGCTAAGGCTAGGTTCAAGTCCTTTTTTGCGAGCAAACGCCTTTGGAGCCTCAGGTCTCTAACCCCACAGACGATCTGGTCCAATAACATGTCTTCAAGGTAGTCTTTGAACCCACACTGCAAGGCAGCTGTCCTCAGCGCTGCCATATACTCGTTGATTGACTCTCCTTTCGCCTGTTTTCTAATTCTGAAGGCATATCTCCTGGCTATCTGAGATGGTTTTGGCGAGTAGTGGTTGGAGAGGATTTCTTGGAGTTCATCCCACGGTACGCTTCTGATAGCGCGAGGGGCGACTAGTGCTGTAGCGGTGTCAAAAACTGCAGCCCCACAATAGCTGAGGAAGTAGGACTTCTTCCTGTGTTCAGCAGCGTCTACTCAACCAATGGCATCAAGGAAATAGCTGAAACGATTTTTGTATGAGTCCCACGTTTCCTCGTTTGGCTTGAATGGTGGGAATGCTGGATTAGCATTCATTTTGAAGATGCAGGGTTCGTCCTCTTCAGTCGTATTTCAAAATTCGCGCTCTTAGAAGAGCGTTGACGGTTTGTGCTGACAGGCGGTGACTGTCTCTCTAGGCTATGGAGTCTCTTTGAATTTCGCGCTCTTTGTGAGCGCCGGCGGCTGCGGCTACAGCACCCGTGGCTTCGCTTTCAGTGACTACAGCTCAAAAAAGCTACGGAGGCTTTTTTTAAATTTCGCGCTCTTTGTGAGCGTTGGCGGCTACGGCTTCAGCGCCCATGGCTTCGCTCTTCAGTGACCACAGCTCTTTTGAAAAACACGTCTGGCTAGCCTTCGACCACATCCCATCCTCGTCGCCAGTGTTGTGGAGCGGCAGAAGGAAGAGGCAAGAGCCAGAGTGAACAACTAACAGGCTTTATTACAGGGAATAAAGGGTTGCCGCGTCTGCCTTCTAACTAGCAGGTTAGCTGGCGGCAACGGGCTGGCTCTGCTCGACAGCCGGCTTTTATAGCTGACTGTCAAACGGAGCCAGCCAATGGGAGCGGCTGGTGCTCCCGCTCAAACAGCGGACCTGGTTGGGGACTCCAACCAGTTCCAAAGACATAACACACTTCATGGAGGTTTATTTCTTGTTTTATGCAAGCATTACACAAGGGAGAAATTCCCCATTAATATCACATCTTGAGTATCTCTCACCACATTGTACTTTTGACTCTGAAACTTAAGATCTGACCAGTTTAAGTAAATAGCATGAAGTAAAAAGTCATTTTGAAACTCAAATACTTTGACCACTTAAGGAGAAGGAAGGATTTACTGGAGAAGAGCCTAATGCTGGGAAAGAGGGCAATAGAAGAAGGGGACAACAGAGAATGAAGTGACTGGATGGAGTCACTGAAGCAGTAGGCATGAGTTTAATGGACCCCAGAAGATGGTAGAGGACAGGAAGGGCTGGAGGAACATTGTCCATGGGATTGTGATGGGTTGGACATGATTTTGCAACTAACAACAACAAAAAGTCATTTCTAGACTGTGCCCACAGACTAGAGATGGCATGTTATACAAGTGAGACTCAAAAAATTAAAATATCGTGCAAAAGTTCATTCATTTCAGTAATGCAACTTAAAAGGTGAACCTAATATATGAGATAGACTCATTACATGCAAAGCAAGATAGTTCAAGCCGTGATGTGTCATAATTGAGATGATTATGGCTTACAGCTCATGAAAACCCCAAATCCAGAAAATTAGAATATTGTGAAAAGGTTCAATATTCTAGGCTCAAAGTGTCCCACTCTAATAAGCTAATTAAGCCATAACACCTGCAAAGAGTTCCTGAGCCTTTAAATGGTCTCTCAGTCTGGTTCAGTAGGAATCACAATCATGGGAAAGACTGCTGACCTGACAGTTGTGCAGAAAACCATCTTTGACACCCTTCATAAGGAGGGAAAGCCTCAAAAGGTAATTGTAAAAGAAGTTGGATGTTCCCAAAGTGCTCTATCAAAGCACATTAATAGAAAGTTGCGTGGAAGGGAAAAGTGTGGAAGAAAAAGGTGCACAAACAGCAGGGATGACCGCAGCCTGGAGAGGATTGACAGGAAAAGGCCATTCAAAAGTGTTGTGGACTGAGGCTGGAGTCAGTGCATCAAGAGCCACCACGCACAGACGGATCCTGGACATGGGCTTTAAATGTCGTATTCCTCTTGTCAAGCCGCTCCTGAACAACAAACAATGTCAGAAGCGTCTTGCCTGGGCTAAAGAAAAATAGACCTGGTCTGTTGCTCAGTGGTCCAAAGTCCTCTTTTCTGATGAGAGCAACTTTTGCATCTCATTTGGAAACCAAGGACCCAAAATCTGGAGGAAAAATGAAGAGGCACACACTGCAAGATGAAGTCCAGTGTGAAGTTTCCACAGTCTGTATTGATTTGGGGAGCCATGTCATCTGCTGGTGTTGGTCCACTGTGCTTCATTAAGTCCAGGGTCAATGCAGCCGTCTACCAGGAGATTTTGGAGCACTTCATGCTTCCTTCCACAGACAAGCTTTATGGGGATGCTGACTTCATTTTCCAGCAGGACTTGGCACCTGCCCACACTGCCAAAAGCACCAAAACCTGGTTCAATGACTGTGGGATTACTGTGCTTGATTGGCCAGCAAACTCACCTGACCTGAACACCATACAGAATCTATGGGGCATTGCCAAGAGAAAGATGAGAGACATGAGACTGAACAATGCAGAAGAGCTGAAGGCCGCTATTGAAGCACCCTGGTTTTCCATAACACCTCAGCAGTGCCACAGGCTGATAGCTTCCATGCCATGCCACATTGAGGCAGTAATTGCTGCAAAAGGGACCCAAATTAAGTACTGAGTACGTATGCATGCTTATACTTTTCAGTGGTCTGATATTGTTCTATGTACAATCCTTGTTTTATTGATTGCATGTAACATTCTAATTTTCTTAGAGTGTGGATTTGGGGTTTTCATGAGCTGTAACCCAACATCATCACAATTATGACAAATCACGACTTGAACTATCTTGCTTTGCATGGAATGAGTCTACCTCATATATTAGTTTCACCTTTTAAGTTGCATTACTGAAATAAATGAACTTTTGCACAATATTCTAATTTTTCTAGTTTCACCTGTATGTTTGAATATTTTCCATTTGGTAGGGATGGAATTAATTGTGTCTCATAAATTGTAACACTTCAAAGGTTCATGTAAAAAGACTTTTCATTATCTCTCAAAATATTCTAACGAAGGCATTGTGCAAACTTAATTACAAATGTTATGCATTTCTATTCAAACTGTGTACATTCTATACATAATGGCATATTTTCTTCTGATCAATAACCATAAAAAAGATGTCCTCTTCCTGACACTTAGCAAACAGTGTACAAAACAAAGACACCTCCCACTCCTCCTACATTTTTAATAGAATTTGAGGACTATAATATGGACTCATTTGTGAATTTCACAAGTTATCAAAAGTGGAAACAAATCTATGGGCATGCTGCAACAGTCAAAAGTGTGAAACATGGTCATAAGTCACTTTTTTCAGTGCCATTGTAACTTTGAATGGTCACTCCACACAAGCAAAGTACCAGCAAAGGAGGGGGGGAAAATTCCAGAGAATTCCTGAGACAGAAAGTCTAGTCCTGCCAAGAATGTAATAAGGGTTAACGGAGAGGCATTTTCTGTAAGCAACACCAGAATGTTTCCTTCCTGCCTTCCTTACAGGATTAGGCCAGTAATATCTTCTAACAATTTATTCTCTGAACTGCTTAGAATGTTAACAACTGGTTCTAGTGACTAGGTGCGAACAGGTAGAATCCCACCCCTGGACAGTAGGCATGATGGTGCACTTATGCACGCCCCTTACAGACCTCTTAGGAATGGGGTGAGGTCAATAGTGGATAGTTTGAGATTAAAAGAGATTAGAAGATGTAACAACAGAGTCAGGTAGTACATTCCAGGCATTGACCACTCTGTTGCTGAAGTTTGAAGCGGTTTACACTGAGTTTGTATCTGTTGTGTGCTCTTGTATTGTTGTGGTTGAAGATGAAGTAGTCATTCACTGGTAGGATATTGTAGCAGATAATTTTGTGTGCTACGCTTAAGTATAACCGTAGGTGGCATAGTTCAAGATTGTCCAAGCCCAAAATCTCAATAGGATATTCTGTTGCAAGCAGAGGAGTGTCGTACTCTTCTTGTGAAATACTTCTGGACTCGCTTGATTGTATTAATGTCTGATATGCAGTGAGGATTTCAGACTGATGAGCTGTATTGAGTATTGGTCTGGCAAAAGTTTTGTATGCTCTAGTAAGGAATTCGATATTTCCGGAGGAGAAGCTTTGTAGGATTAGATTTACAACTCTTAATGCCTTTTTGGCAATGCTGTTACAGTGAGCTCTGGTGCTTAGGTCATTTGATATGAGAACTCCATGATCCTTGTCAGAGTGAGGATCATCAACAAGGTAATATCTGCCTACCTTGTATTTGGTGTACTGATTTTTTTTCCAATGTGTAGGACAGAACATTCGTTGGTTGAGATTTAGAGTTGCCAATTGTTGAACCATTCAGACACCTAATCAAAGTCACTTTGAAGGACAATAGCATTGTTGGTGGTGTTGAATAGTGTTATGTCATCCGCAAAGAGGATGCAGTTGCTTATAAGGTGATCGCAAAGATAATCTATATAGATTATAAAGAGTGTGGGTCCTAGAACGCTAACTTGGGGGACACCGCTGTTAACTGGAGCAAGGTTTGATATAAGGCTCCCTATTTTTACTATTTGTTGCCTGCTTGACAGGAATGCAGTAATCCACTTAGGAAGGGATCCAGAAATGCTGTAAGAGTTTAGTTTTAACAGTAGTTTGTCATGTACCACTGAATCAAAGGCTTTGCAGAAGTCTATGTAAATTGCATCTGTAGCTTTACCCTGGTCAAGTAGAGGAGTCCATATGTTTTTGCAGTGTAGGAGTTGAAGATTACAGGACAATTTTTTTCTGAAACCAAATTGTTTTTTGGAGAATAGGTTGAATCTAAGTGGAGGGTGATTAATTGGTTAATGATTGATTCCATGACTTTGCACATGACACAACACAGTGAGATTGGTCTGTAGTTTTCAACCAGACTGGGGTCACCTTTTTGAAGATAGGGAAGACTGTAGCTAAGGACCATAGGTTTGGTAAGGAGATGGTTCTGAATGAGATCTCATATATAATGATTAGGGGTTCCGCTATGGCAGAGGAGAGCTTTTTAAAGAAGTATGCACATAATCCATTGGGGCTAATAGATAGGGGTTTTAGGTTATGTAGTGCCTTTTCTATGATACTTCTGTAAAGTCAATATGTAGTAGGTCATTACAGTTAATTGTGATATGACTGTTGTGGTTAGCCAGCAGCTGGTACAGATGGCTGAGGAGAGCAAGGACTCTGATGAGGGGCCAGGACCATCAGGGAGTGGACTGCTGCCTTCAGAGATTGTGGGGGCTGGCCGCAGTGATGAGGAGGATCCAAAGGAGCCTGTGCCAAGTGTGCGTGTCCACAGGATTGATTGTAGGAGAGAGCAGTTACAGCAGCACAGGCGACTTGGGAGTAAGGCTGCAAGGTAATGGCCCCTCCCACAAGAGGATAAAACCAGGTTTGGAAAAGCATTCTTTGCAGACAGCAAAGAAGCTCTGAAGCTCAACTGGTGGACATCTTAGTTTGTGTTTGGAGAATCTTGAAATTAGTTCTTATCTCTGGGTTTTTGGCAGCCTTGAGAAACAACTTGGCAAGGCTCTTTCTTGTTGGAGCTAATTGTTGGAAAGCAGCTTTTTATCTGTAAAGGAACAAAATTTGGATTAAACCTGGAAAGGTGAGGGCTGCTTCCATTGTCTGTGTTTGCTCTTTGGGAACCCGGTTGGGTCAGAACAATGACTAGGAAATGAATCGTTGTTTGCAAAGACTGAACTGAAGAATGTGTTGAAGAGATTGCCCTTAGCAGCTTCATCATTGCAGTCATTCTCAGTTGGTCCTTTTAGGGGTGGGATGGTTCTTGAGTCTTTAAATTTGGTGTTTACAAAATTGTAGAAGGTGTGGGTGGATTTTGTATGCTTGTTTGTAGTGGTAATTTGCCTGCAGTGCATTCTGCCTTTATCTGCCTTTATCGGCATAAGGTGTTGTAGTGGTTTTTAAAGTTTGCTACGTAGCTAGTTTTGTTTTTATGCCATAGAGATCTTTTTTTTAATTGAAGTTTCCTTATTGTTATGGGCAATTTGTTTTTGTTTTTTTGTTTTGGGGGGTTACTAATGGCATATATAGTTTAATGACTCTTTCAAGTTCAAACAAGAATGCATTATAATGGTCTTTTGTAGTATTACAGCTAGAGAACAGAATGTGCCAATCAAGAGACAATAGGTCAGCATCTATGAGATTATAGTTCAAATCATACTAAGAAACAGTTAATAAAAATCATTAGGATATAAGCAACAAGGTTACAGTCATACAGTCATAAGTGGGAGGAGATGGGTGAAAGGAAGGATGAGAGGATTAATAGTAATAGTAATGCAGACTCAATAAAATAGTTTGACAGTGTTGAAGGAATTATTTGTTTAAAAGTTGCAGAGTGGACAACCACCATGTAAAAGATATCTCAATCCACAAAAGGAGAGGGGACATAGGAAGAAGTTCAGAAGTTTTGCAGAGAATAAAAGCAAAGGAGGGAAAAATACTTTCAGACTTGCATGATTCTGTTAATGTAACATTAACAGATTACAGAAACAGAATTAGTACTAATAAATACAGAGTTAATACACATAGTTGAGTGTTCTTGACTTGTCTATTTTGAAGGGCTAATATAAGGCTGATAAATCTAACTATTTTTCTCATCTTCTCCAAGATCTTACAGAATAATCTTACAGATTATTCAAAATTAGCTAAGAATTGCTAAAATAATGTCCTCTACAAGAATGTGTATTTGTCTGTATTTTCCTCATGCCTGTACATACTGTATCTGTGACTATGGATATATTTTCCCCTTAAAACATAATTTTCTATGTACCTTCTCAATAATGAATTTTACTGAAAAATTCTGAAAATTATGATTTTGGTACACAAATAAATAAAAAACTAGATCATCAAAAAAAAATTGGTCTGAGAGCAAACACAAGCAAACAACTATCATAAATATATAATTAAATATAGTAAAATAATAAAATAATTGGAAGAAAATCTTGAGACAATTAGCAGTTAATAATTAATCAAATTAATGATTTGTACATATGTTCAGAGGTATAGGCTGGCCAAATTCTTATGAAAATGCAGGCCAAATGATTTTCTTCCCCATTTCCAATAAATGTTTTCCAAAGGATATGTTTTGAAAACAAAGGATTGTTTTCAAAAGAAATTGCCTCTTAGTCAATCTTTTTCTTCTTAGCAGATTATCTGTCTTTTAAGGGGGTGAGAAATGCACACCAAAAAGCAGATAAACAGGAGAGGACTATAAAAAGCAGATGATATCTTGTACATTTACACAAATAAGAAAGGATGTCTGCACAATAAAATTATACTTGAAAGTATATCCATTATAAGTCAGCCTCATGCCCTGAACCGATAGTACACGGGAACTTACATAATTATATTGTATAGAATATTTGCTATGAATGTTTCAGTTCATCTTGAGCAAAACTTCCTTCTGGATTAGAATAACCTCTTCCAGGTTGAATTTATTATTATTTTGCTCAGTTTAATGGGTTTTTTTCTGAGACAATGCAAAACCAATAGCCAAATGGTTTCCATTTTAGTCATCTGCTTATTCAAATACACTTTTTTCTCACCTTGACTCCTTAATTATGGTCTAATTATTACATCTTAGTAGGATCACACTACATGAATTCTTCAGGGTGAAACATTTTTCATTATAGAGCTCCTCAGCCTAATGTTGGATTATCTCATTCTACTATTTTGTTTCAGATGTAGAACTAGATATTACTATAATAAATTATTCTTCAGCATTTGTAGTCTCACAATTCACTGTCTGAAATACCAGGAGGGGAAAAGAAGCCAATATATCAAACTTGTTATCCTCATTATCAAAATTTGGTAAGAAAAGAAAAGAAAAGAGGACTTCACCCCGGAGAAATCACTTCCATCTATATATCTTCATATGGTAGTAAGCAATAAAGAATAAGTGGATGTACATAGTATTTTATTCCAGATAGATGCCCAAATGAATTTTTCTCTCTCATTTATCTATATCAGAAGTTTTGTACAAAAATAAAAGGAATACATTCTGTCCCACACACTCCTTTTTTTTTCACTACAGCTTGCAGTAAAATCTCTTCATCACACCAAATGAAAGTTCATTTTTATTCTTTGTGTGTGAAACTTTTTCACAGTTTTCTAGTAGAAAAATCCTCCTTCCCAATTATACATGGAATTTACAACTTTGGGAAGTTCAGTATTGCTGCATTTTTCCCATTTTCTGTTCAGTGGAGATGTTCCTTTTCTCCCTCCCTCCCTCCCTTACTGTGGAAGTTGCATTATGAGACACACAGACACACACGTATGGATGCACAGATAAAAATCCTGCTGCAGCATTTGTGTGCTAACAATTCAACTTTTCCTAAGGAATTTTTTAATGCAGTCTTTCAGGGAAGATATAGGTACACCACTAAACATTTCGTGATTTCTGTTTTGTATAAATATCTGTTGATGGAAATAATGGCTCTTGTTTCATTCCTTTGATTAGAGCACAGACCTATAGAAAATAAAGCAGTGATAGGCTGTGTGTGTGTGTGTGTGTGTGTGCGCGCAAGTTAAAGTACCTTTATGAATACAGTGCAGCCAGACAGTACAACCTGGTATGCAGCACAGTAGAGATAAGAAACTGCTTAGTGCATATTTTTCTAAAAGGAGTATGCACACTTGTCTCACTATTACTTCATCTGTATCTGACTGTGAAGTTGCTTGACACTTGCTTTGCAACTAATGATCTGTTTGTAATTTGAGTCTCTTTGTTTCTTCAAAGTAAACGTGGCCTAAATATGGCAGGGGGAGGGAGTCTTTCATCTTGGACAGTTGCTAATGTGTCCTTTGTATGACTGATCAGGCTTTGCAGACCCATACCAATAAGATTGAGTTTTAGGTTTGTGTTCATGACTGAGTAGATGAATGATCAAGGATGAACTTTGCTATAAAACAGCTGAAAACGAAGGAGGATGAAAGGAGCTGTGATATTCATTCTCTCCAACAAATTATATTAATTAAATTGTGCATCTTGCTGAATTTTGTGATAC